TGCTGTGAACTGACAAGCATTATTTCCTTCAGTTCTGTTTTTTGGTGATTTTTTTTTTCCTCCCTAGGTAATTGCACCTCTCCCCCAGTGGTACCTAATGCCCAACCAATTTTGGGAGATCGCGACAGTTTTCCTGAAAACATCACAGTAACATACAAATGTAACGAAGGCTTTGTAAAAGTTCCTGGCAAATCAGACTCCGTCATCTGCCTCGACAGCAAATGGTCAAAGGTGGCCGAATTTTGCAACCGTAAGTTCTTAATTTTGTATGTAGAAGAGTGACTGGTAATTGATAGTTTTCAAGCATTATGAAACCCCAGGGTATACCTGGCACTTCACACCACGGCTAATTGACTACATTACTTCCCAGAATAGGTCCTGCTGCTTCATTAACAGGCTTGGGTTGTTTTTTTTTTTTTTTTTTCTGTTGTTTTTTTATCCCCCGATGCTGTACATCCTGAACTAATAGAGAAATAAACAATAAGTACGACTTAGGGAGTAAATTATCTATGAATATGTTTGGCAATCACCTTGCGACACATTAACATAGGTCTTCTGTGTTCTTAAATTTCATTTTCATTTCACTTATCAAATACAACTCCATGGTGGCATTTTAAAAAGTTCTCTGTTTTCCTCAAAAATATATCATTAGATGCATAGTCTTGTGTTAACTTTGACATATATGAGTAAAGATAAAGATAAGACTTGGTTCCCAGCTTTGGACAACCTGGGGAATAGAAAGTAGAGTAAATATTGAAACTGCCACAAGTATTTTTTGAAACCAGGTGTGAAATCAGCTTTAACTCTTTGGTTAGAGAGAAGGCAGTGGGTTGAAGTACTTAAGCCTTTGCACACGTATCATGTTGTAGAGTTTATAGCTCTTCTACATATATTACTCCATTGACTCCTCCAGACAACCCCATGAGTGGAATAAGGACTCTAACCCCCATTTTTCAGTATGGAAATAGTCTGGGGAAATGGTCCTCCAGAATTAAGTAACTTCTTGAGATCAGAGGTCTTACACAGGAGAGCCAGGGTCCAAACTTGAGCCTTTGGACTATAAATCCAACGTCCCATCCACTGTAGCACGCCTCTACTAAGTCACATTTGCCCAGATATTTACCATTTGTAAATACTTGTATGTACACTACCAGTTCATGAGATCCATGGCCTTCTGGGTTGTTGTGAGGATTCAATGAGTTGATATGTAGAAAACATTTAGAAGTATTTGATAAATATTAGCTATTACTATACTGTTATTGTTGTTATTCAGGACGTTAGCCCAGGGTCTGGAAATACTAGTTCTTGTCTCACCTCTCCCTCCATAGGGCAGGCAAAGGTTAGTGCCAGGACTGTACCTGGCAATTAAAATGGGTTATATATATTTCCTGAATTGTTGGCATAGTGATATCTAGGTACCAAATTTACTAAGTAGAAAATTGAAGTATATATGTGAATATGCTTGATGCACTCTAAATGTCCTAGTGATATGAATATAGTTAAATACCAAATATGTACAAAGAAGTACAGAAAAAGGTGACGTAAGGACCAAATAATTCTGGATAATTAAACCTAGATTCTAAAATAAGGTGATATTCGTTATGCTGTTGCTTTTGTTAATGCCTTTAGGTAGCTGTGATGTTCCAACCAGGCTACTCTTTGCAACTCTCAAAAAGTCTTTCAGCAAACAGAATTATTTCCCAGAGGGTTCTGTTGTGGAATATGAATGTCGTCCAGGCTACAGAAGAGACTATTCTCTCTCAGAAAAACTAACTTGCCTTAAGAATTTTAAGTGGTCCAAGCCAGATGAATTTTGTAAAAGTGAGTATAATTTTAGAGTATTCTTAATCATATGGTATTTGGGGAAACAGTATTTCTTCTTTCATTCATGCTGGAAATCTTTGTGTGCATATTATTATTTAGAATGAGTCTTTTTTTTTTAAGATTTTATTTGTTTATTCAGGAAAGACACAGAAGAGAAAGAGAGGCAGAAACACAGGCAGAGGAAGAAGCAGGCTCCATGCAGGGAGCCTGATGTGGGACTCGATCCTGGAACTCCAGGATCACGCCCTGGGCCAAAGGCAGGTGCTAAACCACTGAGCCACCCAGGGATTCCCTAGAATTATTCTGAAAAGAGCCATCAGAGTAATTCTATAATTTTGTTTTAAATTAGGCAAACTAATTTCTTGTGATATAGAGGTATTAATTCACTCACAGATACCACATTTAATTAGTTTAAGGGTACCTAGAATATAATAAGCATATGTTCTAAATATGGTGCCTTGTTTGAAACCTACAAAACAAAGGCAAGATTTTAAAAGTCTAGGGATATGAAATGTCAGTAGTTCAGATGATGAATTTGCACAGAAGGGCCTGATAATTTAATGAAAAAAACATATCAAGTTGTTCTCTCTTCTAGAAAAATCATGTCCTAATCCTGGAGATTTAAGACATGGTCATGTCACTATACCAAATGACATATTATTTGGTTCATCTATCTCCTTCTCGTGTAATGTGGGGTAAGTTTTGGCATACTACACACTTATACTCTATATTTAACAAATTTAAAAATAAATTAGGATTTAAGACTGAAGTTTTTAGGTTTGTGATCGGTGTTTACAAGCTAGTCTCAATAAAACAACTCCTCTGCTCAAAGATCTTTCATCATGAGCTCATCATGGTTAAATTTAATAAAATGGAACAAGAAAGGACAATTTCTTATATCACCAAATTCTCTCAATTGTTAGATTTCGGTACATATATGATTCACTAAAAAATTTTAAATTTGATTAGTAAAGGAAAAACCTTATAATATGTTGGCACTTGTGGAAATTAAATCCTTCTAGTGTTCAAATGAAACCAATCCTTACTTCACCTAGCAGTGAATTTGCATATTTTTTTTTTCTGTATACAAACTGCTTGTTATATAATATTATGTGTTAAAAACATTTATCCCTAGTATGAAAATGTCATTCTGACCTGAGGTCTTTTCTCAGTTCTCTATGTAGGGAAAAGGAACTCACTCTGGGTATCATCAGTATCTGTCTCAGAGACTGCTGGAAACTTTATGTTCATTTTCTCATTAAATATCTGCATATTAAATTATGATATTTTACTCTGTGTGTCTGTGTCCCTGCTCTTTATAACCTAAAAATATCAGTGTCATGCATCTCCTGTACGAAACAGAGATGTTTGCATGGTTCATATGATTAATATTAAATTTGGGGAGTACTTTGAGCCTTAAAATACAAATATATTCTACTATTCTATGAAGCCTGTGTTGATCTTTTAGAACTCAGAAATATAAAATATTCAAGCATCTATGGCACTTTAAAATGTTTCAAAAACGCTTTCACATTTTCTCATGTGGGCCCACCCAAATAAAAAATGTGTTGCATATCTTGCATTTTTTTATCCTTTGGATATCACCTTTTTTAAATTTAATTTTTTTCTTTTCCTATTAACTCCCGCGTAAACTTTGATCAACCATTGTTTTGTCTCCATCTACTGGTGGAGTAAATATTCTAGGATGATATTTTGGAGAACTTCAGGGAAGCCAAACATGTGGATGGGACCTAACTTTTTTTCTCCCTTCATTGCTTTAGATACAGATTAGTTGGTGCAATTTCTAGTTACTGTGTCCTCGCAGACAACAGTGTTGAGTGGAGTGATCCGTTGCCGGAATGCCAAGGTGAGACTGAAAAAAAACCCTAAGCACTCTGGTTATAAGGCTGAATAATCAATGGTAAATTACTTTCTCTCATTAAAAATTATCCACATTGTGTATTTGGAGTACCCTCACCTTCCAATGTGAAAGCGTCTTAGCTAATTTAAAGATCTTTATCAGTAGTGTTTCTTAATTTATTAGCTGCGAAGATACAGGATTTTAAAAACCCAACAAACTCCAAAACAAACTAAACAAAACATACACAGCAAACAGGTATGTATTGTGGTTGGTCATTTATTATCCTACCTTTCCTTCTAACAGTCAAGCAAAATAGATGCAGGGGTTTTCTTTCTTCATAATTCCTAATTTTATGAATTAAAATACTATTGATCAGAGAGTCTGTATCATCTGACCCTACATCCCAAGATAAGTGTCAAGAGAAGGCATTTAACCCAGATCTCTGGACTTCATACCCATCATTTTTCCAGGACCCAGAGTTGCCTCTTTTAGGATTATGAACTGAGCTAATTATACATGTTTTGAGGTGTGATTTATTTTTCATCATTAGAGAAATAAGGTTACACAATAAAGAAGAAGTATTATTTCTGGACTTGAGAATCTTCTCAGAGGGAGATAGGGCATAGAAATAGTATCATAAATGCATGTACCCAGTCAAATTTCTATATTTCTCCTGAAAATAGGAGTAAAATATGTGTAACATACTTCTTTTTTCTTTCTTAATAGGAAAAAAATGCAACAACTTAAAAATGTAGGCATTATGTCTCCTATCTTTGCTAAAATTACTGCTCAGGTCAAGTTTTTGGTGTTTTGGGGAGCAGAAAAGTGGGATAGACTTAGTGTAATTTGTTAAGCACGTCTTGATTGATACACTGTGGTAGGAAATGTATGTATGGGGTCAGTTGATATGAAGACAAATAAAATGAAGTCTTGCCAACAAAGAGCTGGAGTAAGCTGGTCACACCCAAGTACACCACCACATGGCCCACCACCTTGTGCTCTACCCTCTTATGTCCGCTACTTCTCCGTTTTCTTATCATTATTACTTTGAAATTTTCACTGTTACCCCTCACTACGCACTTTTCTCACTTCCACCATTTAGTAAGGGATGTTGTAAGTGATACTAAAGTTAAGTTTGGACAGCAAACTTACTCAAATAGGTACCCCCTTTTGACTCTGTGAGGTCTCTGATGCGTGTAAATGGACAATTTGCCCTCCACGCCCAAGTCATGGACCCGGAGACCTTTTCCCCCACAAGACTGAATTTTGGGCTATGGGTGTACACATTAGCGGTATAGGCCATTCTCAACAATCTGGACCATGTGGTACATGTACTAAAATTGGAACGATGCAGAGAAGATTAGCATGGCCCTTGCTCAAGGATGACCTGCAAATCTGTGAAATACTAAAAAATATATATGGATCAGAAGAAAGGACCCTTTCAGGCTCTGCACGGGGAGTTCCGAGGATCAGTTCCTAGAGCATGGTTTACAATGAGGTGGAGGAGGAGCTCTCAGTGAGCATACCTTCAGCCCTGCAGATACCCTACCTGGTAGGGAGAAGCACAGTGAGAGGAGGGGCACAGCATGACCTCTAAAGTGTGGGAGCTGGGGCAGGAGTCCCACTTGCCTGAGTTCAAGGGTGACACTGATTGCAATGGATCCCATCCTCCGTTCTTGGGCTCCATTAATTTTTCATCCACACTCTACCCAAAGGGATCCATCTGAAACACAGATGCGACTTATCTCTTCCTTCTTCAAGCTTCTTCCTCATCACTTGCAATGCTTAAACTCCTTAGTAAAGCATACAAGAGTAGCCATGGTCTACCCACTTCATGCTTATGTCTTGCCCTCACACTTTATGCTCTACCCATGCAGACTGCCCTACATCTTTCCACCTGCTACTCTACCTCTGCCTGGAATGTCCTTCAGCCCCTTCTTTGCTTAGCTTTTCTTTTCTTCCTTGTTTCTCCTTTTTTTTTTTGTTTTTTTTTTTCCCCCTTTATTAAGGGTTTGCTCTGGTACTCCTTCTAGAAGCTTTCCTTGACCTCCCCTCTAGTTAACTGTTCTTATCTCTTTCTACGCCATGGTGCACACTTCTATGATAAGCCTCACTATTTTGTATTAAAATGAAAATCTTTGAATCTTTTTGTCACTTTATTTTAAGACCTAGGACTTAATATCTTATTTAGTTTTGCAATTCTGTTTACAGAACAATGCCTGGTAGGTGTTAGGTACTCAGAAAATCTCTGAACTGTACTGATGGTGATGTGTAGTCATCAGGCACCCTAGCCCAGTGTAAATCAGATTAATTTGCTCTTGCCCCTTGCTTTGATCAGTGGCCTAAAAGTAATTTAAACATTTATTGGTATTCTCTGGATACTTAAGGCCACTCGATGTAACAAAATTTGATGTCCACAAGTGATCACATTGCTTTCCTGCCTCTAGACAGTGTGAGCCATTGCATTTTTTATCAGGGCTACTGCCAGGTATGACTAGAGCCACTCTACTTATACCTCTTGCTCAATAAGTTTACTTTAAGTAAAAGACTGTGAGTCAATATTTGCTTTAAAAAATTTTATCCTGAAGGTCAAAATGTAATCCTGATACTTTAGATATTTTGCTCTGTTCAAATGATCTATTCCTGTTTCCTAAGTATGCCATGTGACTTCTAGGCTCCTTTCATTTTGGCATCATTTCCCTCCGGAATGCAGAGCAATGCCCTTTTCTCTGCCCTCTTAGCAGAAGGGTATAGCTCAGTTTTTTTTTTTTTTAAGATTTTTAATTTATTTATTTAGAGGCAGAGACATAGGGAGAGGGAGAAGCAAGCTCCTTGCAGGGAGCCTGATGCGGGACTCGATCCCAGGACTGGGATCATGTCCTGAGCCAAAGGCAGACACACTCAACCATTGAGTCACCCAGGCGTCCCGGGTATAGCTCAGTATTAAACTCAAGTTCCACTTCCTCCTTAAAAATCTCTGCCCTGCTTTCACCTCTGAACTCCGGCAGTATTTGCTTTTTCTTGCATAGTTTGGTATGTAATGTGTGAGGACTTTATTATAATTTTTGCTTTACATGTATGCTCCAAATCTTTTTTTTTTTTAAGAATTTTATTTATTTATTTATTTGACTGAGAGAGAGAGATTGAGGGAGCACAAGCAGGGAGAGTGGCAGGCAGAGGGAGAGGAAGAAGCAGGCTCCCTGCTGAACAGGAAGCCCAATAAGGGGCTCAATTCCAGGACACCAGGATTATGAACCAAAGGCAGACTTTTAACCAATTGAGCCACTAGGCTCCTCCTAAATCTCATTTCTATACTTTGATCTCAAAATTAGCATTCATGTTTTATACCATTTGTATCCAAAACTCCAAACACACTACTCATTACTTAATAGGTATTTCTAAGCTCTCTTGTTGATAATGCTGAATTTAGAAATGGTAGATTTTTTAATTTTTTAAACAAATTATCTAGCATATTGTAGTCCTAACTTATTAAAGTAAGTAATTGGCAGTTTTATTAATGTAAACTATGTTGGATTTTTTTAAAGAGATTTTTTGTCCAGATCCACCAGAAATTAGCAATGGATTAATTTATGATCCACAGAAGACTTACGTGTATCAACAGTCTGTAAAATATAAGTGTAAGATCGGCTTCACCCTGATTGGAGAGAACTCTATTTATTGTACTGTTAAAGATGATCAAGGAGAATGGAGCGGCCCGCCACCTGAATGCAGAGGTAATGAGTTTGCATAGTTGTATTTTTGTTTTATTTTTACCTTTTGGTCTATACTTGGACTACACAGATTCTATGAACTCCTTGAGAAATGAATGTAAAATGTGGTACATATGCATATTTGCATTTTTCTGGGGGGAGGGTACAATTTTTCATCAGATTCTCAGAGGGGTCTGTGATTTCCAAGGAACCACTGATATGGAAAACATGGGGTAACGTAAAATGTATGAATATATAAATACACGCATATAGCATATGATACACACACACACATAATATGTCTCACATTTTTAGTAAGTTCACTTAAATTTGCCATTTCTTACCAGATCACATTCAGTAAGTTAATATTCATACAAAAGGTGTTTTGTATGAATGGTTTATTTTATTAATAGTTGTGAGGGAAGCTTTTTGTATGTATGGTTTATTTTATTCAGTTGTGAGGGACGCTTAGACTAAGGTGAGGGATTGAAATAGTGACCCTAGCAGGTGGTATTTGTTTACACAGTGTTATATGTGAATGCCAGTGTGACTCGAGCAAATGCTGCTTTTATAATTATACTTAGAATTGTGTTAGCATGAATTGTGAATGTCAGTGCTCACTAAAAACAGTTTTTTGTTATAAATGGTATACATAGACAGTGAAGTAATATTAAAATCATGCAGAAGGGTATAAAACGGAAAGTAAAGTTACTAGACCTGGAGAGAAGCAAGAAATTATAACCAAATCAGAGGAAGATAAATCCAGATAATGGAGTTAACAGACGAGGACTTTAAGATAAGTGATTAATATGTTTAAGGTATTAAAGGAAAAAAAGAAATAGAGAATTTCAACAAAGAACTGGAATCTATGAAAATGGAGTAGATATGCTACAACTGAAAAATCTAAAATCTGAAACGAAGAGCACCATAGGTTTAACAGTGATTAGGGCACAGCATTAGGAACTGAAAGGAAGGTTCGTGAATAATGCCCAGAAGCACAAAGAGGGAAGAAAAATGTAAAGTATAGATAACATTTCAGGAGCTATTTGAGACATGTGAAACTGTTCTAACAGTTGTCTTAGGTTAGCTAAGAGGAGAGATAAACAGAATGAAAAAAAAATAGAAGTATTCCAAGAGATAATAGAATGCTCCAAATACATGAACCCATTCCAGAGGTTCTCAGGGATAAAAATAAAATCACTTTCTGGCATATCTCATGGCAAAAATTTTGGAAACTCAAAATAGTGATAAAAGCAGCAGGCAACAAAAAGACACATTATCTTCAAAGGAGCAATGCTAAAACTGATCACAGACTTCTCAGCAAAAATTATGGAAGCCAAAGACAATAAGAAGAAATCCTTCAAGTTAAGGAAAAGAAAATGACTGCTCACCTAGGATCCTTTACCCAATGCATATGTCCTTTAAAACTGAATGCAAAATGAAGATATTCTCATACGAAAACTAAGGGCACTTGTCACCAGCAGACCAGACCTGCACAGAATGACAAAGTAAAGGCATTCCTTCGAGTAGAATTAAAATAATCCCACGAAAAACATGAAAATGCAAGAGGAAATGAAGCACACTAGCAAAGTACACGAATATGGACTGTACAAAATGATAAATGCAGTGTCTTCTGGGGTTTGACTTGTATGTCGAGTACGAGTATATAATAGCAACAGAGCAAAAGGCAGAAAGAGGTCAATTGAATTTAAAAGTTAAAAGGCTCTGGCAATACTAAAAGGTTGTAAAATTGTTACTTTGCATAATTGACTTATCCTCTAATACCTACTGTAATCACTAGGGCTGCCAGGAAAATAATAGTGACAGAAAGTATAAATCATAAGCTAACAAAGGAATGATAATAAACACTTCATCCAAAAGGAAACAAGAGAGGAAGAGAAACATAAAATAGATGAGTGGGAGAGGAAGCCAATAGTAAGGTGTTTAATATAAACCCAACTACATCAGTAATTACACTAAGTGTAATTTGAGTAAGATTACTCAAGTGTAAGTGTAGTGTACTCAAACTCAGATTACACTAAGTGTAATTTGAGTCAGACTGGATTACAAAAATTAGACCTATTAGTTGTTTACAAGAGACACAATTTAATGATTAAAACACTGAATGGTCAAAAGTAAAGGATGGAAAAATATACTTTGCAAACACTTACCAAAAAGAAAAAAGAAGCTGGTGCCAGTTCTATTAATATCAAAGAATACTTTAAGATATGACAGTTCATAATGATAAAGGGGGTCCATCCAACAGGAATCTATCACGATCTGCGATCTATGAACACTCGAGAAAAAGCTTCCATCCACATGTAAAACAAAAACAAAAGCAAAAAACAAAAAAACGGACAGAAAGAAAAATAGACAAATTCCATGATTATAGTTTGAGAATTCTACATACCTCTTTCAATAGCTGTTAGAATAAGCAACCAAAAATCAGTAAGACTATAGAAGCAACAGTCAAAACTTTTAAAAAATTGACATGCTAAGAGTCATAAGGACATAAGGAAGCCCCACAAGGACAGATGGAAAAAAATTTTTCAAGTGTACATGGACCACTGACCATATGCTGGGCTCTAAATCATGATGTGGTTTGGAAGATTGAAATAGTTTGGAGTGCGCCGACGGTGATGGAATTAAACTAGACACCAAAAACCAAAAAAGGGCAACTGGAAGAGCCATTTCCAGGAAACATAAA